AATGGCAGAGTAGTTCTTGTTTTCCCCTGAGGTAATGCAGGGCTGGTAACTATCATCTTCTTAAGTTGCAAGTTCTTCAACCTTGTTTTCGGACTCCGGGCCATCCCGGGCCAGAGAGGCAGGGAGGGGCAGGGAGGCCCCCCGGCCGCGTGGCACGCCCCCCGGAGTGGGGGGGGCACCGGCCAGGCCGCTCCGGGCGCGCGGCTGCCTTCATCACATCTTTACTTGTACACGTTCCTGTTGTTTGTCTGTCTCCCCCATTACAGTCTAAACCCCATGGAGACAGGAGTCCGCTCAGTTCTCCTCCCAGCACGTAGGTGAGCACCTGGCACCTGTACGTACTTGGCGCGTGAACAGGCAGCTCTTGGAGCAGCGTCCCGCCCCGTGGACAACGTCTCGCACATCGCTAACAACCCAGAACAGCTCTCTCCTCCATCTGCTTCTCTTTCTGTAACCTGAGTCTCAGGTGACAGCCCGCAGACCCAGCGGTCACATCAGCCCCACTTCTAAGCCGTCAAAGCAAGCCTTGTTCAAGCTCCTTCCCTCACAGCTCACGTTTCTGTCCCCTTCTCTCCCCCTTCTCTGCTCTGAAGGCTTCTGTTAACCTACAGGCCTCACACCTTGTTACTCTTCCAGCTTCTAGAACAGGAGCACTCTCTCCTCCTCCTATCAATACCGTCTTTGCTTGTCAACAAAGCACTGTTACTAATGTTCCTGCAAAAGCATCAGTCCTTTTTTTTCCTTGTTGGTTTGTGTGTGTGTGTGTGTGTGTGAGAGAGAGAGAGAGAGAGAGAGAGATTTTCACTATAGGTGTGAGTGATTGCCAGAGAGAAATAGAGAGAGCACTCCCTAGGAAGGATGGTCGTGCCGCAATCCCTTTTCCTCCACGTTCCTCTCAGGATTTTGGGCATGCATGCCCATGCACCTCGTGTATTTTTCAAGTCACTGGGTCCAGGACTCAACCCATGTAGTCAGCCATGTGAGATCCAGTTACCTCAACCACCATGCCACTGGCTGGCCCAACATAGGCCCTTGCTTTGCTCCTGGGTGGGGAGGCACCTCCAGGTAGGGAACTTGGACTAAGCAGACAGTAGTGACCTTTCTCACTCCTTCACTTTGACCCAAAGAGGGGACATGTCCCATGCGTGTGTGTGTGTGTTTTTGGAGAGGTTTTTGCTATAGGGCACGTGCGCTCGCCAGACAGACAGAGAGACATAGAGACATAGAGACAGAAAGCGAGAGCTCACCCCGCCCCCGGGGGAATGGTCACGCCACAATCCCTTCTCCTCCATTCTCCTCTCAGGATCTTGGGCACACACGCACACGTGCCCGGCGTGAGTTTTAAGCCACCGGGTCCGGGACACGAACCAGGGTCGACTACGTGGGAGTCCAGCGACATAGCCATTACGCTAACTGCTGGTTCCCTCATGTGTGTGTTTGAGAGAAGGGACAGGGCTGCTTCCCGTTGCTGACTCTGCTTGCCTGTGGGGGCTCAGAGTGGGACAAGGACAGGCCTCCATGAGGGCAGAACCTGGACATGGCAAAGCTTACCAGTGGCTTTCTACCTTAGGAGCATGTCCACCCTGCTGGGAAACCTGAAGAGGCTGTGCCAGGCTCTGTGGCAGCCTCTTGGTTCGGTATAAAAATGACATCTCTTTGCCACAGGGACAATGACAGACCTACCTCCTACAATAGCAATGACTGTAAGTTTAAAGGCGTGAAACACTTAGCAAGACATCTAGCACAGAAGTACTTCAGAAATCTTAGATACCATCATAGTCATGGTGATAAACTTAACAAGGGAAGAGGATTATTATCAGTTCTGACAGAACTCAATAATCCGTATCAAACCTCTCCCCACTCCAAAGCCACTGTGTTCACATGTGCATATGCACACAGATCCAGTAGAGGAGTTGGTCCAAAGAAAATCCTTGGAGTTCTCATAGGAGGGGAAGGATAGCATCAAACAAGCAAGCCCTGAAGCCACATCTGGATCCCTCCAAACCAGAGCTCTGTTGCAGATAAAGCCGGTGTCCGGGTGTAGATAATTGTCAGTCCCCCGAAGCTTCATGGTTTAGAATTAGGTCTTAGTGGGTGGTGACTGAATGTCTCCCCAAAGTTTATGTGTTGGGACATGGTTGTATCATAAAGGTATTAAGCGAAACCTTAATCCCTTCATTGTGTCCCAGGGTGGGGCTTTCAGGTGTGATAAAGTCATGAGGGTGGGGTCCGCTGCTGTGTATTTAAGGAGAGGAAATGAGGCGGGCAGAAGGCAGATAGTTACAGACCATGTTGCACTCTGCTCAAAGATCTCCCTTCCGCCACCTTGTGATGCCTTTGGACTTTCCAGCCACCAGAATTGTGAGTCAATAAACCTCTATTTCTTTGTAAACCACCCAGTCTTAGATTTTTCTGTTACAGTGCAGTAACTGACTAAGACAGCAGAGGACCATGGTCTCTGGAGGAGCTTCATTCCATTTCCTTGAAGCTTTGAAACTTGAAATGCAGCAGTTGACCTGCCGTGAAGGTGAAAGCTCCAGGCCGTGACTCAAAGCCCTTGTCATCTTCTTGCTATTAGACCTTTCCTCCTCCCTTTCTTCACTTTTCTCTTCCTCCTCCTCCTAACCAAGCCCCAGACCTGCCAGGTCTGCCTCTGAATCGGTCCCCTGAATCATCTCCTCCTCCCACTGCCCGGCCCTCCTCATATCTCTGGATGAGCTACTAGAAATCCCAAATTTCGTTGCTTCCAACCTGTTTTAGTTCTGTTGCTAATAAAAGAAAGTCCCCAAATCTGAGGGATTTAAGAGGATAGCGGTTTACTCAGCTCATGATTCAGTAGAGTGGCCACATCTGATAAGCTTTTTCCTGTTGGCGGGCCCCACGGCCAAGCAGAGCATTACATTGTGAGAAAACAGGAGCAGGTATCTGTGTCCACCCATCCACACATTTCTCCTGGTTGTGTTTCCTTACTCACCGGAAGTTCATTGTAGCCCCTCCTCCACATCACTTAATCACTCCCAAAGACCCCAGCTTTTAGCACCATGAAGGTATTAGGCTTCTTCTTAACACCTTCACAACAGAGTCACAATACACAAATTCTGGGTGCACACAAACTTAACACACCCATCCCTTACTCTGCAGCCAGAGGCCTCTTTGATCTTGTCATTGCCATCTTGGGAACCTCTGGCAGGTCCTACTGCTCATGGAATAAAGCCTGAATAGGACCTTCATGAGCTCCTCCTTCCTCAGCTTCTTGTCTCACTCTGCCCGCACCTTCCCATCAAGCCCCCAGAGGTCTGGATACACAAGCCTACTTCCATCCTCAGCCTGGCCAGGCCATCTCCAGACTTCTACTGCTGTGTTAACCTTCCAAGGGACTGACCCAGTCAAGATTCTTAGTTACTAACAGCAAAACTGACTCTGATTTACACAAATGAAAATTTATTGAAAGGATATTGAGTGAAACAGCAGCCAGTAGGAAGGGTCAGAGAGCCAGGCTTTGAGGCTAGCTGGGACGATATAGTACACACATTGGTCTAGCTCCTGGCATTGTAGTTGTGAGATGTTAGCACTGTGGGGATCAGGGTGAAGGGTACCATCATTACTTCCTGTGATTCTATAATTATTTCAAAATAAAAAGTTTTAAGGAAAAAAAAAATCAGGCAGGGGTCAGGGGAGGTTGACCATGGAGGATAAGGCCCATAGCTGCCACGTGGTAACGATGCTGCCTCCTACAGTGTCCCTTGGCAAAATCTTTCAGCAGTTCCAGGCATGCCGGTCAAGAGCATCTGATCAGCCAGACCCAGGGCTCAGAGTCACACTCTACTAGCAGGGAGGAGAAAATCCAGTTCCCTTAGACTTCTTATAGGAAGGTCCCACCTCCCACCAAGGTTCCTAGTTAGGCAAGGGCAGCCAAAATAAATGTTGGGAAGCCAAGGAGGGGTGATGCTTGCTATGCCACAATGATGGAAATCATATGGAAGATCAGGGTTAGAGTCCCAGGTTGACTAATACACACTGCAATGTGTGTGTGTGTGTGTGTGTGTGCGCACGCGCTCGCACGTGCATGCACATGGGCGCACATGTGTGTCCCTATGAACATAACTGGCTGAAAGGCTTAAGGAGGATGTGGCATGAGATTCTATTGAAGGTGCTTGTCTTTCTTTCTCTACCTCTCTCTCATGAAATTAAAAAAAGGCGTATTTTAAAAAGTGAGTTTAAAACAAGTAAAGGCCTTCTGAGAATTCTGAGAGCTTCTGTCCTCACCAACCACTCCTACCTTCTTCTAGTCATTAGTTGGATATGTCAACTCCTTTCTCCCTGGACTGCACACTTGCTGGCTCTTCTCCTCCCCTTACTTAGCCAGCTTCTTCTCTTTCTTTAGGTCTCAGGATGAATTTCACACCCATTGAGGGTTTCCTCTCCCTGCCTCTCCCTCTGCGGCACCCCTTACCTGCTCTCTACCTGCCCCTTGTTTCCTCATAGTGCCAAAGTCATTGCAGTCATGGTGTTTGTTGGTCTGTCACTTGTTTGGTGTTGGTTTTTGTTTGCTTCTTGCCGTCCAAGGACATGCTACCTCTGTCTTCACCATGTGTCCCAGCACCAACCATAGCAGGTGGCTCACGGCAGATGCATCAGCATGGGCAGGTGAAGGAGCTGGTTTTGGTGAACAGAGGCCTTTGGAAGATGCCTCATTTCCGGACTCTGCCTGTGTGAGTAGTTCTGCCTGAATCAGCTCAGGGCTTCTTCCATGTCCAGGTGGTCATGGCTGCCCTGAGAACAGTATTCTGTCCTTTCCTGATCATCGTCGTCATCACCAGCATCAGATCACGGCCAGTCTCTCCTGCTTGGATGGGGCATAGTCTCACATGGCCGACTTCATTCTTCATTCTCCAGCCTATGAAGAACCTGTGAGACCCCACTTAGGGGTCACAGTATTTCTGCCCGCCGTCCTAACTGTCCCCCATGTAAGTCAATGGGTCTTTCCTGTCTCAGATCTTTCTACATTGCACCACTGTCCTCCACAGCAGTTGACTCTGGGGCTTTTCTCCCCACCTGGATATTCAGTGTAAAGCTTGCTTCAGCCCATCCTTTGGCAAACACATTCTTGTTCCTAGCCTATGAGCTCCACTTCAAGCTAAGAACCTCTTTCTTCTGGGATCTTAAGATGTGCAGGATGTAGCAAGTCAAAATCCAAACAATCACCCATTCGCCTCCCTCATCTCTCTCAGCTGTCCCCACATCCACAGGAAGAAGCCAGGGAACTTCCCACTCCGCTTCCTCCCGTGTTGGGCCCAGGACTCAGCAGTCTCCATTGGTGCCACAGGATCAGTGGCCACTGGGCGGACAGTATCAACAGGCATGAGGAGGAGTGGCGAGTGGCCAC